GGCCCCGCCCCCGCGCGGGCGGCCCGCGCCCGCCGCCGCCCGCGGAGAGGGGCAGGGGGGCGCCAGGGCTCGTCGCGGGGTTGGCTCGCCGATGATGTGATTTTCATTTCGTTAGTCGTATTTCATTAAATCTCTCCCCTCGGTGGGCAGCGTAGGAAATGCGGAGCGGAATCGCACTGTTGTATAAACAAACAGTGGATATTTTATATGATTTAAATGTGTAGATAATTAGTTTTATTACATTCATTACCCCCTTTATGTGCTCTGTAACAAGTCGGCAATTAAAGTAACAAACTCATAAAGTCTTTATAAGAGCATTTAAGCTGGCGCAGTATTTGCCCAGCTAAGTAGTTTAATTGGACGCTAGTGGTTGAGCAGGGGGAACCCGCAGCCTCCCGCGCTTGGCGCCGGTTTATTACCCATTAAAAGCGTTCTGAAGCGGGACTTAATGACACCCTGGCTGGGGGGGTATTTTGGGGGGCATGTCACTATGAGTTACCGGTGGGTAATAAAACCAAGCAGAAGATTCTTGAGCCGCTGAGGATCCGGGTGATAGTTTTACGGCGAGGTCTGATAGTTTTATTGCGGTCGCATGTTGTACAATGTGTATTTGATAAAGAACGGCCTTTGGTGGCCCGTGGACACTTTTTGTGCACCGGCGAAATGAAAATAAATGTGAACATGGTTTTAGTGCGAGGGTGGAAACAAATTGCGAGTTCTAAATGGTTCTCCCTTTATGGACACCAGACAAGAGGAGAAAAGCGCCGCAAACATCTGTCTTCCGTCCCCCAAATCTAAAGGGCACCAAAGAATGATGTGAATCTAAGTGTTACTACAGCGGGGATTTGTCTTTATTTACCCGCGCTCTCATGAATATGAATACGCGTTTGGGGCAGGGAGGTGCCTCGCCCCCTCTCAAACAACACAGGGCATTTAAAACCCAAAAATTTCCGAGTGCCTTTCCTCCGGGGGGCACCTTTTGTGCCGCGTTTCTTTCCCCGCAGCGGCACCGCGCTGCCTCCCGCGCCCGCAGCCGGGGAAGCGGGGCCGCCGTCGGGGCTGCGGGGCCG